GTGTGTGTGTGTGTGTGTGTGTGTGTGTGTGTGTGTGTGTGTGCATCATACACTGTGGTAGTCATGGACGTGGATGTGGTGCAGCCAGCTCAGGTGCTGGTGAGCCTGCAGGAAGCTGGACAGCTGCTGGTGCTGAGCGGCCGGCTGGGACAGCAGCTTCCCCCTCTTCCCCTTCTCCATGTACCAACGGAACAGGAAGTCAGCAAAGTTCTGCGGTGGGACAGGAAGGAGGTCAGTGAGCGTGACAGAGCTCCACCACACGAGATGAACCTGAACCTCTCTGGATTATTCAACCCTCAGACGACAGGAAGGGCCGGGGGGGTACCTGGTCAGCGAACTTGGCCATGTAGTGCTGCAGGCGGCTCTGGTTGTCGGTCTGCTCGCACATCTGCACCAGGATGTCGAAGTCACAGTATTTCTCAGCCAGTGCTGCCACCCACTGGTACTGACCCAGCTCCACTGCAACACAGATTCAAACCTGGCGTTAGCGTCGGTGGAGGTGTGAGCGTCCACCTGTGACGTCTGAGACACTTACACAGTGGCTGCAGTAGCTCGGAGCGGCGCTGGGCGTACTCCATCTCAAGGCTGTTGTAGCGCTCCTGTTGGGCCCCCGGGGGCCTCTGCTGCTGCACGGAGGTCAGCTGGGCCACACAGCCACTCAGGTAGATGTCCAAGAGCGCCACCAGCTGCTCACACAGGGCGCTGCGGAGCGCCGAGTCAGCATGGGGGTACACGGAGCGCAGGATGATCTCGTGTTGGCGGGAAATGACAGTGCGAACGCCGCCCACGCCGCCGGACGCTGGAGGAAAAAAAGGATTAATAGTTTTCCACCAACAGACACACATCTGGATGTTCGTCTGTGACGGGAGAGAAAAATGAGAATTTGTGTCACCTGTCCACGGGATGTACTCGGGCTCAGCAGCAGCTTTTTCAGGAGCTCTGTATGTGGAGGACTTGGTGTCTCTGTACTGACCAGCAGCCTGAAGCATGTCCTGCACACACACACACACCCACACGTTAATGTCTGACGTGGCACAAAGCGTCCGTCATGAACTCCTGAACGGTGGTTGTACCTTGATGATGTTGTTGACGGTGAGGACCACCTCGGCCCACTGCACCGAGTCCACCTGGTTCTCCTTCAGACTCCGCTCCTCCTCCTCCAGCAGACAGTCGAACACGGAGGAGATCTGAGACACCTGTGAAACCACAAAACAACACCCTTCAGGCCGCCGTCCGTCCGACCGCCACGTTAGAGCAGCCCAACAGAGAACAGGTCAAACCTCTCTGAAGAAGACATCAGCAGCCGTGAGGCTCGGCGGCACGGCGGCGTTGTTCCTCTGCAGCGCGGTGCCGATGGCTCTGTTCACCAGCTCGGCGTGCTTGGTGTGGTGGTTCTTCAGCACCATGGCCGCCTGCAGCTTCTCTGCATGTTCACACAGCAGCAGGCGGGTCGCCATGGGAGTTGAACGCACCGTCACCTGACCAAGCCGGTCCAGCAGACCGACCTGACAGAGGAGGACAGGAAGTTCTTTCAATCTAGTTATTAAGAGGCTGTCGTTCAAGGTGTTTCTCCCTTTGTTAAAATGAGTAAAATAAGAGAAACATCTGCAGTTCAACCCTCTGCAGCCTCAACAATGACTTGATAGTTAGTGTGTTTACCTGGAGCAGGAAGTCCATGAAGCAGCCGTGGGCCTTCATCTTGTCCTCCAGCTGGTGGAGGATGATGAGGGACGTGAGGGGAAACCCGACGCTCTCTGGATTCAAGAAAGAAACAGAAAAAACAAATGAGTCTGATCCTAAATAAATGTATTAACGTCGTGCTCCACCAGGCAGCTTCCTCTCGCCTCCTCACCGTCGGGGACAGATTCAGCCCAGCGGGGGTCGGACGCCGGGTAATCATCCACCAGGTCCAGGTTGATCTGAATCACAACGCTGTCCAGCTCTGCCCCCTCCTCTCCGTCCCCGTCAGCAGGGAAGAGCTCGTCTGTGACCGTCTGAGCCCCAACCAGGTCGTTACTGACAAGAAGAGAGACGAATCTTTTGATGAGTATCATCCTGTTTATAACACTAATGCTCAAATGCTTCAGATAACACGATGAATGAAGCTCTGTGTATTTGTGAGTATTTTTGGTTTTGGACTCGTTTTCACTTTTACTCTGCAAATACTGTTTCATCACTTAAGATTTTGATTTGGTTCTATTTGTCGACGCACCGACAGAACTGCAGGAAGGCCGTCTTCAGGAGTTTGGTTTTGTCCTCCTGAGCGACAGGTTCTCCTCTGGTCGGAGTCTCCATGGCTGAAACCTGAAGCAAAAATAAGAAATGCATCTTAGATTTATCCACAGTCACACGGCTCCGTTAAATTCAATAAGCAAAAGTTTTGAGAAACCTTTTAAAACCATAGAGGCTGTGATGTCATGTCATTGACCGTTAAAACCCTTTTCAAGCTCAAGGAATTAGAGTGTGATGTCTTTTCCTCTAGTTTTGCCAGTTGAGTTTTACCTCCGGAGCTGCGGCCAGCGAGGAGCACAGCGAGTCCTCCATGGTCTCCGGCAGGATGGAGGCGCTCTCCCGGGCCACCACCGCCACCAGGCCGCTGTTCTGGGAGAAAAACACCGGCAGGTTGGCGCAGCAGCCTCCCCCGCGTACGCCGTCACCTGGACGGACAGACGTCAACACAGACAGTTACCATTATGTTTTGCATCCAAACAGCAAAGAGACAGGATCCACCTCTTACCTGGTGAGCTAAAGCTGATCTTCTCATCAGGAAGTCCCGCCCCGCTGGTTCCCGTCGAGCAGGCGAACACCAGGTCCTCGTTGTAGAGGTAGGCGATGGAGCCAGGAGACGGCGGCAACACCAGCCGTGTGGCCTGCAGGGCGTCTTCGCTCTGAGGAAATGACACGTCACAACAAAATCTGCTCACCTTCCAATTATTATTCTGACTGAAGCTCTTAAATCTCCTGAAACTGCGACAGCATCTTACGGAAGAGTCTTTTAAATCTCAGCATGTTATTAAAGACACATCTGAGAGCCACAGCCAACTTAAACTCTAAAGTCTTCACACTAAACTGAATGTGAATCTCTGACCTGGAATGGAGGGTTGTATTTGGTGACCTCCACAGTAAACTGGTCGCAGATGGCGGCTCCGTTGTCCTGGAGGGTCACCAGGCAGAAGTAGGCCAAGCAGGGAGTGTCTGACGGGTGCCAGGCTGCAGCCAAAACCACCAGGCCGGCTCTAAGTAAATAAATAAACACACACACTCCACATTTGTCTTTGTATTGGACAGTGAGCAACACACACAGATGCACACACTCACTGGCTGAGCTTCATATCCAGATAGGTCACATTCGCCCCCTCCTTCATCTCCTCGTAGTTGCTCTCTGAGCCCTGGTGAGGGAGGAGAAAAACCTTTCACTTGTTGTTTTTTGTGTTTTAATATGGCTGCTAACTTCTGGTTGCGTTTCCTTGCACTGACCCAGATGGCGTCGGTGATGCTCTCCGTCAGAGCTCTGTGGGCGTCCCAGCTGAGGGTCTGATGCTCCCAGCTGTCGTCCATCTCCCACTTGTTGAGGCTGGAGCTGGTCAGCGTGTACAGGCAGCTGGCTCTGCTCTCCCACTGCACACTGTGGAGCTGCACACAACAGAGTAGGTTGGACCATATGCTAAAAGTTTGTCTTTTCACACCCGACATTAAAATATTCCCTGACTGTGTCTCCTGTCTGGTCAGATCTCACTTCCCTGCTCTATTTGCCCAAACTCGTATACGTCCTTTGTGTTTGTGAAGATCAAATCGATCGGTTCGTAGATTCGTGCACTCGCTGACATTTTCTGTCAGGTGTCTGATGCTGGTATCTGAACATCTCGACAGTGAAATCTGAGTGTGGCTCACTGTGTCGTTGGCCGGCGGGGAGAGGATGCCAAACAGGCTGGAGACGCGGCGTCCGATGCCAGACAACACGCCCTGACCCTGCTGCAGAGCTCGGTACTGCAGCTTCCCTGAGGCGTCTGTGCTCGCTCTCAACAGCCGATTCTTCACTGAGGACAAGACAAAGCTTCCACCCTGAGAGGAGAGAGACGTCAAACAGCAGGACTGTTCAGTCTCAGGACAGACTTTGATTTAAACTTCTTAAATTAAATGTGATAAAGATTTGCTTACTCTGACTGCGACGACACAGTGGCAGAGATCTCCCAGGTCCAGGTCTGTCTCTGTGTAGTTGCCTTCCTGAGCCAGGCTGGGCCAGAAACGAGCTGTTCCCTCTGTGGCCACCGCCAGAACGGAGATGGACTGAACAGAGGCCGTCTCCAGAGGGGAGGTGGACGCGACGGCCACGAGATCGGCTGTGTAACTGTACTCGCTGCCAGGCAGCTGCAGCTCCTTACACACCGACAGCTGCAGGAGAGAGAGAAAATTTAGAGACTTAAACTTATGGAACTATGAACTCTAACATCTTGGCACTCTGTAATTTAAGGATCGATTTGAGGGAAGAGGAACTGCACCTTGGCCACAGCCGTCTGACAGATCTTCCAGATGATCAGTCTCTCTCCACAAACCATCCAGGCCCAGCCGCTCTCATTCACCTTCACTGAGATCTGGTCGTCGGCTACAGACAACAACACACACAGAAACGTTCAGCGGGAATATTTTAACAAAATCTCACAATCAAACATGAACAGAAAATCAGAGATATCTGAAAACGGATTTACCGTCAGCCATCGTCAGTGCCTCCATCACTTTGACAGGCAGCGACGACCCGAAGGTCTGGACGTCATAGTTTAGTGAATCTGCAGCTGTGTGACCCTGCAGTCGGGTGGGCGTCGACCTGGCGGAGGAAGATGTAGAGTGAGACGGAGGAGACTCAGTCAAACTTGATCAGATCAACTCAACTAAATCTGAACCACCGGCGCCCATTGAACCTCTCTCTCTCTTCCTAGAGGTGTAAATGAGGTGCTGGGTTTCGTCTCTTGTGTGTCTGTGTCATCTTTCCGTGTCTTAGCGGAGCGGTGGTAGTATGCCCCCCCCTCCTCCCCCAGATTGTTCAAACCGTAAATCTACTGTCAAGTCTAGATTTGTCACGTCTGAGTTTAGAGGTTTTAGATCTGGACCTGGTCTGATCTAGATGTGAGATCTCCATAGTTTTGGCAGGTTCCCTCCCATGACTGATGCTGAACACGTGAAGCTGGT